TCTATATATATATAGTAATAATCATCATCATTAATAATAATTACTAATTAAAAAATACAAAACAAAATAAAATAAATATACATAAGGGGGCTGGCTAGAGGGGAGATCGGGTAGAGCAAAGAAGGTCTCAGTTGGGATGGGGTTCGGTTTGGATTGTAGTTAAGGGTCGGCTTCAGACAAAGGTTCAAGTGGCTTTAGAAGTCGGAGGCAACGACGGGAGGCGTGAGGTAGGGCGCGGTCAAGAGGGAAGGTCGAATGGAAGAGGAGGTTGTCAGGTTGGAGGCGACTAGGGTGGAGATTAGATGGAGGAAGATGTCAAGATGGATCGTATGCAGGAGCTAAGGCCGATAGGATCAGGGAAAGGCTTGGGGTTCGGCTAGATGCAAGGGCTTGTGACTTGGGTTTGGTCGACTTCGGAGCTTGAGGAGGACACACGACTTGCTGTGGGATTTCAGGTATGCGATTAGGGCAGAGAGAGAGGTTGGGATGAGAGTTGATAGAGGCTTTAGCGTCGGAAGTTGAGATGAGGTCTGGTCAGAGGTGTGGATTCAGGTATGGTGTTCAACAGGATAGAGGATTTCAGGCACTGGGGTCATATGAGAAGTCGGGTGGCTTCATGGGTTTGGAAGATTGGAGGAAGAACGAGAAGAGGTCGGTTTGCGAGGGAGGGTTCGGCAGTGGAAGAAAGTAGCGAATGAAGAAGAAGAGCCAAAGGCTCGTTCTCGACTTACTTTTATCGACCAAGTATAGTAGCGTCGAGGCGACTGAATCGCGGGTTTTACAGGAGAAGCGACTTGAGCGATGCCATATACAGTGGTTTCAACGAGATTTCAGGGACTTCAACAAAATTTTGAAGACATGCGAGGTATTATAGTGGGATTTTGGCGGAAACTCTGTGATTTCGTGGGTTCGACAGGTACGAGGTATGATTTTAAGTCTCTTTTTTTTTTGTTCCTTTGGGTATAGCATGGAGGTCAACATGTAAGTTCGGAGAGAGCATCTTAAATATTAAAACTTATCGTATGACCATATCAATAGTCCAAATTAAGAATTTAAGAGATGCAATTAAAAATTTAAAAGATTCCTTCAAATTAGAGTGGTATTATTAGTTTTCAAATATGAAGAATCTTAAAAGGCACGGCTAATGTAGCCCTTGGACAAATTTTTATTGCGGGGTGGGTTTTTTTTTCTAGATTTCCTCCTTTTCTACAACATTTTATGTATTATTTATACCACATTATTCCTATGAAGTAATAGATTTCAATCTCTTGCAAACTTGTGTTTAGACGGCATTGTAGTAATGTCAACTTTCAGATTGATGCGTGAATCAACTATAAATAAGGTTTGCGACCCAAATACATTTCTCTCCCCCTTTAAACTTTTTCTTCCACATCCCCACCATATTCCCAAAGCTAAAAACCCTTTTCAAACATTATATCATACTTCCCCCCTCAAAAACACATTTTGTCGTCCACCTAATGCGACCAATACACAACAAAATTAATAACTGCACAGTAGTAAGTCCAATTAATCAAAAATCACCATTATTAATTAACTAACATCCAAAACTTTAGATTTGGAGTTCCTCATAATTTTTTACCACAAAATATCCAATCATTCACTACCATAAATTTTTTACCAAAAATACATCTCAACTGCCTAAAACTAATTGTTACCTTCTGGTGCAACCAAAAAAAAATTCAAACAATAGGAACACCTAGAAAACTGCAGCAAACAGGGACCAAAGGGACAACCACCAAAGGGAAACTGAAGCATCAAGGGGAAGAACAAAGCATCAAAACATTATTTAATAAGCAGGGAAACCGAAATCTATTAGGGAAACCAACAATCCACCTTTCGGGAATTAAAATCGGCATGGGGAACTCCAATAGGCCGGCTCTGCCTACATCACCTTCGCTAGCATTCCAACAACAATAAACCTTCCGCCACTCTAACAACCATAAAAACCAAGTTATACATATGTTTCAAATTCTCTAACCTAGTTCGCCATTAGGCTTTGTCCTCCACTTTGCCCATTGTTCCCCACAACCATATGCAAGGTGCACCTCTTCTCACTTGCAGCCACAAGAGCCACAAACTTCCACACTACTCCATATATTATGCTCAAGGTACGTGCCTCACAATTATCTTGCGCCAACTCACAGCATCAACAACCCATTCTACATGCATACGATTTGGGCTCTCTTAATTCCTTCAATGGTTTGGACGGCCCTCTCGCTATCTTCTTTCACCATTCACTCTCCAATTGTGAATTTTTGTTATTTTTCTCATGTCTGACATTATGCTAGATCGCTTCTTTTTGTTCAATATTGTGTTATGGTTTCCATTCCATCTTTGTTTTTTTTTACTCAAAACTTTCTTTCTTCGCTTCTCCTCTATTAGCAGCTTTTTAGGTGATTTCATCATCTCCCATCATTTTTTTCCCCATTCTTACCTACCTGCCGACTTCGGATGATCCAAGGGTTGGTGATGGTCCTCCAACTTATTCAAGTCGAATCTCTGTGAAAGTTGGTGCTTAACCGCCTAGGCCCTTTATTCCCTCCTTCACTAACATTGCTAGGGAAATGACTCTTCAAAATCGATCCTACTTACCAGCTTCTATTTATTCTTTCAACATAACATATTCTATTTGGCATAATCCAATCACAACCCTACATGGTAAAATCATTCTTTTTTTGTTGGAAGATATTTTTTATTTGGAAGCTTCATTTTCCTATAATTCAATTGAAAATTTTTCATTGAGCTCGAGCTTGAAGATTATTTGATCCTTAAGTCTGATCTTCATCTGCCATGTAACTACTCCGTTGGATCATGAAAGGTGACATATGCTTATCAAACTATAATTGGATGCAATATTATTCTAGAATTTTCTTTAGGTTTGGATACTATGTGGGGGGTCTACAAATGTATATCTCATTCCGGGTTGTTTTCCCTCGTCCATGGGCCCAACATATCATCAAATCTATACTATATTCTTCGGATTCAATTTTTGAAAAACCAATACAAGAGGGAAGTAGCTACCACTCGACTCTCTTAATCATTTGTGGCAAGTGTTCTTATTTAGATGGAATTTTTTGCCCCTTTAGTTCAAGAGACGTAGATTGGAAACTTCAAATAGCTATTGAAAAAAAAAATTTGAAGGTTTGTCCTCATATTGAAAGCCTTGAAAAATTTTACACATGATTTTATCAATTGCTTCAAGGCCCATCCAGAAAGGAAATCATTATATATTTGTCATAATAATTACTTAGGAAGTATTAAGGGTCATTTGCAACTGAGGAAATCATCCTTTTATTAATCATAAAACTTAGGATTAAAAGGGAAAATAAATCTGATTAAAATCTACCAACAAATAAAGTTGTAGTAGTTTCGTTTACTTCCATGCACTTCAAAGCTTGCTTGTATGCAAAATTTGGAACCAACAATCTTATCGAGGAATCAAAGCTTTTCATTATTGTCCTAATATACATGGAAGGAAGTGGTTAGCACCTCATCTGCATGCAAGTTTATTGATATATATCCACCAAATGTGTTCGCCCCTCAACACCATCTTGTTGTTGAAGATGTTGGCGACCTATATTCTGAGGAGCCTTACGATTCTGATGATAGCACTTTGAGTATCGAAGTAAAAGTGGATAGAAATGCTTCAAATCCTATTAGTCATGTGAGGTAGAAATATAAAGAAAATGTATTGGGGGGGCCCATAAGGCATGGCTTTCATATCCTTTTCAAACGTGAAAACCACTTATTGGAACGAGCGACCTCCTCCAAGCCATTAGGGATATTGAAGCTCACGTCGTACAACCAAGTAGAAAACGAAAGAGTTGTCGCCCACCAAGATTCACCAAACTTCAAGCTAGGTGCAATAAATGATAACTTTTTGAGATCGCTTCATCCTTTAGATGTATATTTTATTCTTTGTCATCAAGTTATCTTTAATTGATAATTAACTTTTTAATCTAATAATTCTTAATAATTACTTCATGTCATACTCATTTCATTGACTGGATATATAAATAAATTTGCTTAAAAAAAAAAAGAACTAGCCTTCTCTTGTTTGACTAGTAACCCTAACCCACATATCATACCCTTTTGCCACTCTCCCACCTTCCCTAATTGGATATATAAAAAAATTTGCTTTAAAGAAAAAGAGCTAACCTTCTCATGTTTGACTACTAACCCTAACCCACATATCTTACCCTTTTTCCACTCTCCCACCTTCCCTACAATCCTCCTAAAACCATAATAAACCCTGAATCCTCTCAACCAAACCTTAAACATCTATTCATAAGCCCATAACAAAACCTATCTCCACCAAATAAATCTCCTAACAGTGAAAGCTCTCACCCATCCCATAAATCAACCTTATAATCAAACCCAGCGACATAACCCAAGCCATCGTCAAGCATTCAAGATGCCTTCACCACCAAGATCCTACAACCTACCTCTATCACTAGGGAGTCCATATTTTTTTTCTTGATAAATACATATACTCCAACTTGAGAGGAATTATTATCGTATTAGGGTGTATAAGAAAAATATGTAAAGAAGGTGATTATATGTTTTAATATCCTCATAATTAAGGTATTATTTTCTTATTTATTTCCTTATTATGTTTTCATGTATGCTTATTTACAAGCCTACAATATTCAATAAAAAACACAATAATTGATTTCCTCTCAACACACTCCAAATGTCACAAATATAATTTAGCAAAACATAGCTACTATACTTTTCAAACAAATAAGTAAAATCAACATCAACCTCAGCAAACTAAAAATAAGGAAAATTAAAAAAAAAAATACCAATAAAACTATAACAAAAATGCTAAATCTATACTAGCGGGAAAAAACTTGCAAACCAACCTACGCAATAATGAGTGAAAATTAAGGTCCCAATTCATAAGTACTTATATACAAGAATGGCACGGTGCAGCTTTATTAACTTTCCATCAATGGAGCAGCAAATAAAGACATTACCTTGAAAGCTTTGAAAGGCATTTGTTTTTGAATACGGAAGCTGCGAACCTTGTCATGGTCTACCAAATCAAAATAAATACCCCTTCCTATCTGCTCAGTTAAGTCTTCATCTCGGGCAACCTGGATGTGCATTAAGAGAAAGAGAAGGTAAAAGAAATATATTATAGCTTAAAGTAAACATAATAGATCAGCGACACCAACTGATATCAAAATCATACAAATACCTTTATGATAGTATAAAGGTGAGCCTCTGCTTTTTCCTTCTTCTTGTGTTCTTTCTCTTCCTGTTCTTTCTTCAATCTAATCTGGAAAACCGTGACGAAAACTAATAACCATTTCTTCTACAAGAAAAGAATAGAGATCTCTTAGAAACTTTACAACTGGCCTACTCTAAGGTGTTCTGCGATGTCTTTTTCATCCACACTGCAGATTATCTTATCCTTGTCACTCTCACGAATGTAGACAAGCATGTAAGCATTTGAATACTTTGTAAACTTAAATGGTGTGTTGTTGAAGCCAGGATTCGTCTGTGGCAACTTTTGGAGAAAAAACAACAAAAGAATGAGGATAAAGTAAAAAACAAAATGGGCTACCAAAAAAAGGGCAGGTAAAATGGATCACCTCTTCCTCACCACCATACTGCTCTTCCAGAGCCCTCTTCATTTCTTCTTTTGTCACTCGTTCATCATCAAACTTAAACCTGCATGATATTTCCATTAAATTAAAGCTCAGTTGTCATGGGAATTCCACTATAGACTAAGGAACACCTGGAATCAAAATGCCAACATCACTTGATATGTTTGAAGGCAACTAAAAGCAAAATAAACAGAAAAAATAAAGGTAGGGTTATTACAAGAGCAATTGCAAACTATTATCAAGTTTTTGCTGATCATTCAATAAGATTCACATGGAAATGACATACTTAGAATTCTTATTGCTATTTTGGTCATGTAAGAAAATGATATTCCTCTTTGGTTTAAAAAACAGGAACTAAATGAAAAAACACATTAACATTTTCATATTTCCTGAAATTGTTAAACCAAACGGAAGGGTATGGAACATCTTAATAAGGGTGTTTTCACATGTTTTCTGAAAAAATCCCAAGTGGATGCTTGAATTAATTAGGATAGTTAAAATAAATTAGTTCTGACAAAGATAAATGTTTTATTATAACTTAATAATAAAAAGAAGTCTGGAAATTTTAATTAATTGATTAATTAAAAATAATTAGTGATTAACTATCTATAAAAGTTTATTAGGAATTTTTAGACTTTAATTAAGATCATTAAGTTTCTTACTGAAGAACTATGGCAATAAGTCATGTGATAATTAACTGATTAATAATTAGCTAAATTATAAATTAAATATTTGGTAATGCTACTAAAAGGGTATAAAATTTAATTAAAACATTTTTAGTTTATTAATAGGCCTGCGAGAATTAACTAATTGATTAACTAGCCACAAAAGCAGGTAAAGAATTATTTATTTAGACTAATAAAATGATTAATTAGGGTTTTAATTAAGATCATTAAAGTTGTTGTATCACATAATTGTGATAACAAAAGCTGGAATAATTAATTAATTGACTAAGTACACTAAGCAATAGGTAATAAATCATTTAGTTTTTGCTGATTAGGAATAAATTAGAGTTTTAATTAAATAAGATTGATCTATTAAATATTAACTTATCCAGGATATTATAAATTGAATTGTGATTATGATTCTAGCTTAGTTTACTAATGGCTTAATTAAGATAATTAGTGCTTAAATGAGGCTATTAATGAACTTGATAGACGTAAATAGACTTGCATGCATGTTGATGTGGTCCATGTGAATCAAGAAAATCCATTGAAGTGCATATTAATTTGGGGGCATAGCTTTATTCTTGAAAGAAGAAATAGGCAAATTGTTCTATAATATCTTTTTGTTTTTTGTGAAAGCAAAAGCGAAAAATACAAAATGAAAACAAAATAAATTTAAACATCTAAATAAAATATTTAAGATAAGTCATTGATGAGGACATCCGGCCATGAAAAGTTTATCAGAGGAAGGGCCGGAGATCTACGGCTATGATCGGATTACTCTATTTCTGAGCATTTATTTGTATTTGATATATTATGTGTAATTTTCCGTTTTTACCCTCACTTGAGAAAGTAGGTTTATGTGACCCTAAGGGGCACTTTTTTCATTTGACGTTTTATTGTATTTTGTCTATTTATAGGCCTCCCCTCCTCCTTTGGAGGATGATGATTATTATGAATGAAAATTTATGTACTTTATGTCTAGGTGTGTTTGACAGACTTGAGAGTTCTTGTGAGAGCATATGTGAAGTCCCTAGGTGAGGGAAAAACAAGACCCGTTAGCAGCAAGAACCGTCCGGGCTCAAGGTTTATCTCCGCCTCCACCCCCATTGAGCTTGCCGCCACCGTCATCTCCTCCCAAAGCTCCAACCGACCACCTCCTTTCTCCTCCTAGCCTTGACCGTGCAAAGCCTCTCCTTTCCCCCTCCTTCATAGTCGTCAACCACCTCCTTGTTCCCATGGCCAAAACCATCATGACACCCCTCTTCCCTTTCCCCCAAAAATTTCAAATTGATCCTCTAACATTTTCCTAAATTAACCTAGCTTAACATTTTCCTAAATTAACCTAGCTTAATTTCGGAAAAATCTGATATTCAAATTTGAAATCTCCTAAAAAGACTTAAAATACTTTCCCAAATTGTCGGGTTATGTTTGGAAAGATATCTCAATTAATCAATTTGAATATTAATTGGAGATCCCAATTAATTCCCCTTCCTAAATTAGCCTAGTGTTAATTTTGAACAATCTAAAATTCAAATTCGAAATCTCCTAGAGACTTGAAATCATTTCCGAAATGTTTGGGTTATGTTTGAAAATATATCCCAATCAATCAATTTGAATATTAATTGAAGATCCCAGTTAATTCCCCTTCCTAAATTAGCGTAGTGTTAATTTTGGAAAATCTAAAATTCAAATTTGAAATCTCCTAAAGCCTTGAAATCCTTTCTCAAATTGTTGGGTTATGTTTGGAAAGATATCAAAATCAATCAATTTGAATATTAATTAGATATCCCAATTAATTTCCCTTCCTAAATTAGGCTAGTGTTAATTTTGGGAATTTGAATTCAAATTCGAATTCTCCTACAAGCCTTGAATTCCTTTCTTAAATTATTGGGCTATGTTTGGAAGGATATCCCCATCAGCAAATTTGAGCGTTGATTGAAAATCTGAATTGTTGGCAACTCCACTAAGGCCCCAAATCAGCCCCCTAATAATTTAGTGTCTGTCGCCCCCCAATTTCATGCCAGAAGCTTGTTGTTTACCTCCCAAATCATCCCAAAGACAGTCGTTTGCTGCTGAAATACATGATCATCCCATTTTCCATCCCCACTACCATTGGTTCCAGGATTTGGTGCCCACATAGTTGTTGTCCAGAATTTTCGAAGATGTTAGAGTGTTTTTCGAGCGTGCAAGAGGGTTCGTATTGTTGTCATTTCCACATAGACAGTCAAACGACTTCATTGTGGCTTTGTATCTTCTTCCATGCGGGTAAACTCTTCCCCGCTTGTATCTTTTTTATCCCTCCTCAATCGTAACAACGTTTTATAGTGAAAGCTTTGTTCGAGAATTTTTGTTGTCCTCAAACGAATTGCATACTTTATGATCGAGTATGACATAAGAATGATGATATATTACCCCGACGGATAAAAATGTCATTTTCTTATGGACACAATGATAAATTTTACAATTTAACGGAAATTGCCCCATTTAATGTTTGGTTGAATGGGGTTTATTTTATCCTGTGGTAAAGACATCCCATAGGGGCCTATTGTTAATTATATCTCAAACTTTTGACACTTGAAAATATTTTTGATTAACCTAGTGGTTTTCTTGCTTTTGAAAGTCATTTAGATATTGGCAAAATTTTGATTTTGAAAATCCATGAAAATCTTATTTAAAGGGTTTTGGCTTTTAAGAATTTCAAGAAAGAGAAGGGATTAACTTGAAATTAATTTTTTGAATGAAGGCCAAAGGAAAGAAGTGTAGAAGTACTTGATTCTGAGGTAAACTCAGAAGTACTCAAACTATTCTATATTGAACTTTACATTTTAGAAATTTAATTTTTGTTTAAGTTGATATTTTCATTAGAAGGTTGGGGCTTACATTCCAATAACATATGTTCGAGGAACTGTCTAGAATGTGAGGATTTGTATGGTGATCAAAATCAACCATTGCCTCGGATCTTAAAACTAAGGTGAAGACTATCGAGAGGTAATGTCTCGAACCTATGTCTAACGAAATGCAAAGGGACTTACAAACTATACCTCACATGAGGTATGGGCTATGAGGTATAGTTAGCCCGACCCTAAATTTATTGCCCTGCCAGGAAAGGGCTACCAGCTAAACCCACATAATCGCTTTTAAACTTGTGATTTTAGTTTCAATGCATATGAAGAGTGAAAGGATGTTTTTGTTTAAGAAGTAGGGCTTACAACTTGACTTTGAGGTCAAGATTTCTAATTATGATAGTATGCATATGCTGACGCACAAAGAAAATAGATTTTTTGTTATCTAGTCCTTAAGTGAGGGCTTTCTATATGTGACATATGTCACGATCCGGCCCGGTTAGCTCGCAAGTGCAAGGCGGGAACGAAAGTCGGACAGTAGGAATTAATAAAACCTTCACATTACTCTATTAACATGTCTCCAAACATACACAAAACATTCTTAACATAATGAAAGAGCCACTAAAGAACTCCAAGTAAAATTTTTCATTTCTTTCATCAACACATCAACATAATAATTCAACATAAAATTTACAAAAATATGAAAGGTGCCCAAAAATCATTTTCTTACATTTCATCTCTAATACTTCTATTCAAAACATCAAAAATAACAAAACAAAACCTGCTGCCTGTCGTCTCCCTACGACGGTATGTAAGGGGAGGTCTACCTGTCATTATCCTTTACCAAATCCACCTTAAAAGTGTCTCACAACATGGTTGAGTCACAACTCAATAGGTGTAAATGGCATTCAAATAAATTTAGGTTCAAGGGAAGAAAACTACAACATGCTTTGCTATTTTAATAAAATAATAATCAATATATTATCACATTTGTCTAAGGTGATATATGTCTTTACTATAACCTTTAAGTTCTTATTCATTTCATAATCTTTCAATTCTTCCTCTTAAAGCATTCATGCTTCAAATAATAGCCTCAAATGCATATAACATAAAAATGCAATGTTCATAATATTTTAATATATATAACAACCATCTCAGAATTATCATTTGTACTGATCAGGTACATAAAATTGGTCATTCCTTTACCATTTAGTTCAAAAGAACCTCCTTTACCATTTGGCTCATAAGAGCCCCATTACCATTGCTCAAAAGAGCTCCTTTACCATTTGATACTTCCGCATCAACATGCACATGCACATAATTCTTACATAATCATAAGAGAGGCTTATGTAAACTACTCAAGTGTATGTTTTCATAAGGATATACATGTTTGCTATACTCATATGTTTATTTGCATGAAAATGGAAGACATGTGTAGTACATGTAAAGAAAGAAGCATGAGATTCATTCATTGAGTTCTAATATTGCATAAAAAGGATTTTTACTTTTACATCAAGTGATCATAAGCTTATATAAGGAAACATGCTAGTCAT